TGAGATTAAAGTCAGAATTCTGAGTATTTCCCAAATTAAACTGGAATAAAATGTAAAAATCAGTTAAAACTTTTTATTTTTTCAGTGGCCCTAATCCTCTTCCGTGCATTTATAATCCTTTTCATTTGATTTAAAAAGAGGGCTACGTCATCAAACCAGAAGGAGGCGCCACCGCGCGGTGAGTGCTACCATGGAAACGCGTCAGGCGAAACACACGCAGCTGTTCTGTTGTGTCTCAGGTGACTGATACGTTCCCAGACAGCGATACTTTAGTGTTTATATTGATGTACAAATTAGAAGGAAAGAAGAAGACCAATCTATGAGGTCGGTGACTTTTTGTTTGTGTCTTGTTGTTTTTTTTTGTGGTTTTTCTCCGGTATACATTCTTTATTCCGTTTGCTGAACTTCATCATGTAGTTTTTAGGACAAATGATCACTTTCAGCCTATGTTATATAGGGGAAACAAAATGTTCTATTTGCTGTTTATAAATTCAGACGTAATAATATAATTATTAGGAGGAATTTCATGGCACCTTAGCAACTTGAGGAACTGAGACAAATTAGACTTTTATATTTCTTTCTTTTTGTCTTTTTTTTTTTCTTTTTTAAATTATTTTTTTTTAAGTCTGCAGTTTTTGTTTATCTGTTTATCTGTTAATCTTTTTATTTTTCAAAATGAAATGTTATTTGATAAAAACATAACAGTTTCAGAATAAAGGTCCCTATTGTTCCTCTAAATAAGAACTGTTTTATAAGACTTGTTTGAAATAACCAAAATTGCACGGTAGCTATTTTTCAGAGATTCATGTAAAATAGAAAAAATGTTCCAATGGTGTAAATGATCCAAACTGAATGTTTTTTTTTTTTAAGTTTATGCATTGACACAACATTTGCTCTATAGTCTCCAGAGTCTAGAAAGCTTTATGGTTTAATGATTAAAAGGACATGGTTAGGTATCTTTGCAAAAAAAACAACAACACTGGGTTAAAGAGCTGCCAACATCCAAAGAAAACATCTTCAGAAACTTTACAGTGCAATTGATCAAGACTTGTTGCTTTTAAAAAAGTGAACTAATGGGTGAACAGTGTTTTTTTTTTTTTTACAAGGTCCTAATATCAAGTATATCTATGTAAAATTAACTAATTTAATCTTTTTTAATAACAAAGAGCCACAAGAGGAAATAACTGTTTTTTTTTTCATGATTTCTTTGCAGAATAAGAGTCAAATGGAGCGTTATGAGTCTTTGGGTCCGGTTGGGGAGGGCAGCTATGGCAGTGTGCTTAAATGCCGGCATCGGGAATCTGGTCGCCTCGTCGCCATCAAGAAATTCATCGACTCAGACGATGACAAAACAGTGAAGAAAATAGCCCTCAGGGAAATCAAGCTGCTCAGGGTACATCAATAATCAGTCAGTCAATGAATAACTGAGTAAAAGGAGTGGTGTACATGAGTCTGAAACCTGAAACACTAAGATGACCCGCCAAGCATAAGGCAAACAACTCAGGGTCAATTTCTCATGATTGTTTTCAAGGTCACCACCAGAGGAAAATGAGATAGTGGTTTTGATTTTGTCTACACTGCAAAAAAATTAAATCTGAATAATTCACTTTTCCTTAAAAATAAGTGCTATTATTTTTTTTGATTGAGGAGGTAAGTAAGGCACTTTGCAAATGGAACAAGACAACTTACATTTGAAATAAGAAAGAAACTATTTCATTTTCTTATTTACAGTTCATATTCCCAAATGATCTTACCTTAATAGTAAACATACTATTCCATTGGCAGATAATCTTATCTACCTACCCAAGTTAAGGGTAAAAACACTTAATTTAAGAGATTTTAACTTATTTCTACATAATTTTTTGCAGTGTATGCATGTGTAGAAGCAATGACTATCAAGTATAGAATGATAGAAAACAATGACATGCGTTTGAAACTCTGCTTTATTTAACTCTTACAGCAGCTGCATCACGACAATCTGGTGAACCTCCTGGAGGTGTGGAAGCGCCGTCGTCGCTGGTATCTTGTGTTTGAGTTTGTGGACCGGACGCTTTTGGATGAACTGGAGCAGAATTTGAGTGGGTTGGACCTTAACACCTGTCGCCAGTACTTATTCCAGATCCTCAGAGCTGCCAACTTTTGTCATCAGCAAAACGTAAGGAATTATTTTATATGTCATGTTAAAACAGCAAGAATAGATATACAATATAATTACAACTTAATCAACAAGTTCAAAATTCCAGAACACAATTACTTTAAAGTCGTAGGGAAATTATATTTAAATGTCAAATCATTCTGGCTTAAACATGTATATAAATGTACTTTTCATCAGACGGTCAGAGCATTTTGATTCATGTGTCGCAGCTAATATACGCAACGGTTGAAATAATAAATAAGAATAATTTCCTTTCCCATTGAGTTCCTTCCAAGTGTTCACGGGGATGGACGTCTGTGTCTTCAGCAGGCGTATTGCTAACAGAACTGGCAGCGTTGCGAGGCAAGGGCTCAAACATGTACGGCTGGAAGCCTTCTACACCAAACCAAACTTGTGCCGCCCTGGGGTCCTCTTCCACATCTTTATCAACACTTTCCTCCTCTAGATAAAAAAATGTATGACAGAGACTCATCCACGACCTCCGACACAAAACTCTCCTCCTCTTGCATGTTTCCTCTGTCCATAGCGTTCTTTGACAGTGCCGTTTCTAAGTCACCAATTTATTGGTACTTGGTCCCAATGGAATTTCCCATTGGGAACCTACTTGCACTACAATGCTAACTGGTTAGCAAGATGCTTCCGAGAAAACAGCCACAACCAAACTTGCTTGCGAACCTTCCGCCACAACAATCCAGCCCTCTTGATAAATCACCAATAACCTTCATGTTATTTACTCTTGTAAAATCGGGCACCACTCAGAAGAATTCGGAACTGCAACAGTTGGAACAGCCGCTTCCCTACGACTTTAAAGTTACAAGTTAATGCATTTTAACATCAGATAAAAAAGGAAACCAAAGGAATGTTTTCTTCACTTGCTGATGTCCAACATGTCGTACCTCATTCTAGGTGATCCACCGCGACATCAAACCTGAGAACATTCTTGTTTCTCAGGAGGGTGTGGTCAAACTGTGTGATTTTGGCTTTGCCAGAACCATTGCATCGCCATCTGAAGGTGGTGTTTATACTGACTACGTTGCTACCCGTTGGTATAGAGCTCCTGAACTGCTTGTAGGAGACATCAAATATGGCAAGTAGGTATTTTTGCTGCACTCTGAGGTATCCTGATGGATGTTATGGATACCAAACAATAAATGGTACATGTGCTTGTGTGTGTAGACCTGTAGATGTTTGGGCCCTGGGTTGCGTGTTAATGGAGATGTTAACTGGACAAGCTCTGTTTCCTGGTGACTCTGACCTTGACCAGATATACCACATTGTCAAGTGTTTCGGTAAGCTCTTACAGAAAAGGGTCATGATATTATTTTTATTTCTCTTACTGAGCTATTTCTTCTCGGTTCCAGGTAACCTAACACCTCATCACCAGGAGTTGTTCTATAGAAATCCCATCTTTTCTGGAGTTAAACTGCCTGAATGTTCAAAAACCGTGCCACTGCAACAACGCTTCTCAAGAATACCACCAACTGCCCTTGATCTGGCTCAGGTATTTCACAGTTTGGTAATAAAAGACTCAACCATGCTAAAGATAATCTATTAGCTGAGGACAGCAGTAAAACAATGACGTTAATTCTATGACTGCTGAGCCAAA